ATCCCCGTGATGGTCATTGTTTACTATACAATACACTGTATAATACATTGATTTGTGTGAGTCTATGGGGTTGAGGGTGACCTTTGGGAGCACTCCATCCCCAAACAACCAAATATTTTTATTTTTACAACCAGACTTGCAAAGTCAATTCCAATACTGTATATTACAACATATATATGTGCCTGTAATAACATATTAACCAGTAACTACTCCATAATACTTTATCTACAACACTACATGAATTGCATTTCATGTGAATCTTGATGCCGGATTGCATATCAAAACAATATTTACAGATTCTTATTTATTATGTGATACAAGTTATGATATAGTGGTGCAAAATCCTTGAAGGGTGGGATGGGTGGTAATTTCGAAGTACTTTGCCGCAGAGGTCATACAATTTTGCTTGCAAGTGACACAATGAGGCTTACTGATCCAAGCAGGAAACTATTCAGACGAAGAGGTGAAACCTGATTGGTCTATTTTCCCGCACATGCATGGGAAGAGATTTGACAATGGTTTGTTGTTAATTCAGCCTTGCGCTTTGCACGTGTATGATCACTTGATTCACAGATTGACCTTTGTACCAGACCTTTGTACTCCAGGAGACTTTGCACAACTTTACTCTTGTCCTAACGCTTGTTTCATTAACTTAAGTTTATAATGCTATGGGCATGTATAAACTTGCTTCTCACTAGGATGTCAAATATCTTGGCAATAAGATTTGGTCCTGAATACAAACATTGGTTAAGTGAGGGGCCGTTAACCTGACACGAAGCGTCGAAAACTGCCCGAATTTTCGTAGTCTGCTTGTCCTCACGCACGACCGGTCGATGCGGGAGATAATGGACCCCACCTACTTCCCCAGCAATCTCATGTGAAGGAACGCGTTCAATTATTCCGTTTTTCTCGTACTCTGTAAAGATCGTATCATACTCCCTGAGAATTCCTTTGGATGTTAAACGCCGTTTTAGAGATGTTAAACGCCCTTCACATACACTAAAGTTGTCTGGCAGCTGCTCATGGTCTGGCTTAAAGGGTAATTTCGTTACATATCGGTCCCGTCGTGCCCTATGTCATTTTCAAACTGACTGACCACACAGTCACTGGAGGAGCCTATAGTCTCCACGGACCAAAATTTATCTAAAACTTGTCTTAAAGCGTCTGATGTTTCTTTACATTCAACTGAGGCACGTAGGATATGGGTCTCGAAACAATGCAGGTCAGGAGGACCTGTCCCAATTTTGCCACTTACTACCCATCCCACCTTAGTTCCGCATGCTACTGGACCCGCCTTACTTCGCACAACCTTTCCTGTCATGAACATGTGGTAATAATCTACCCCAATTAAAATTCCTACTGGGAGGTTTGGAGAATCGCCTTCATGGTCAGCCAATTCCAAGTCCTCAAATTCTTCCAAATCATGCGTTTTGATATATATTGGTTAGTAAGAGGGCTGCAAATTGTGGGAACACATAAAGGTAAATAAATGTATAATGTAAAACGTCATGCGATTAACGTTTTCTACACTAACGATAGTCAGAATACGAAAATGAATTGCATCAAGCCCTAAAGACTACGTACTAAGCACGATGTACACTAGAATTGACAATATTTTGATAGAAATGCGACTGAAAGTCGGAAAGTTATTTGACATGTATAAAACTTACGTACGTCGAGAAAACTATATTTTTTTAAATGCTCATGTATTCGGCCACTTAAAAGCGAAAAAATTACAGCTTAAACACATATTGTTAAATAAATGTTTTCCCATTTAAAAGAAGGTTTAACTGCAGCAGTGAAAACAAGTCACGAAGACACGAATATATTCTCTAGATCTACCCATTTGTGAATTGTGTCATGCATTTTTCACTGATATAAATATTGTAAACAAAGTAAAAGTTTGTCTTTTTTTAAACACTTTTTTCAAGCATATTATCGTGAAACGACAGGAAAAACTACAAAAATATAAAAATAGCATACCTTTTTCTTTGTCCTTTTCATTGTCTATTGTCGAAAAACGTTGATTAAATCAAAACAGATTCATTTTTATATGTTTTTGATCGGATCTGAACATGAACCTGTCGTTGTCAGGAGCAACTGAATTTGTCAAAGCCAAAACGCCAGGCATAAAACTTTCCAAAGCTTCTCTGCTACCATATTCATGAAAAAAGCATGTACACTTTTACTGAAACTATATGTCTTTTTGTGTGTTTCTTGCCAGTTTTCTCGAGTGTTCGTATTCGTGTTTTATAACGCACTCGTGCATGTTTTTCCCAAATTGCACTCGAAGCCAATATATAAACATATGATACATGCGGATTTTTCAGTTTTGATTTAAATGACTTAAGTACAAATTATCTTACCACGAAAGTGATAAGATAATTTAGTTTTTCGTCACGATGATTCTGAATTTGAATTGAAACACTGCGCGTCCTCCAAGACATACGTTAAGTTGTCGCGAAAATATTTCGTGCAGTTACATTGGATAAGATTCACTATCATGCAATCTCCGTTGACTCGATAGCTCAATGCGCAGAGCGACGGTCTAGCCACTGTAGATACTCCTGCAGGATCAAAATAATATATGAAACTTGTTTTTCATATCTGCGTGGATGTTGAGTTCTGAAACGAAAGTTTTTATTTTTTTATTTTTTTATTTTATAAGTTCAGTATAGATACATATCTACATGAATAACAATAGCATAATATAAATACACTAGGCGAATTAACGTTACGAGTACGAGACGTTATATATACACATTTGTCATTTAGTTATATACACATTTAGTTGTTTTCAAAATGTTTTTTATATTTATAGATTTACAATGTTTTAACACTGAGACCGTGCATGAGTCCCGAAGCGAGTGAACTGGCAAGGATATTTCAAAAACCTCACTTCCAAGTAAGTGTTATTTATAGCTTTACAGTTCTGTGTTTCAGCAAGATGCGCTTTCTTTGTTATAATAGAGACTTTACGATATGGGACGGCAACGCAACGACAACGGCCAGAATATAATCATTCAAAAAAACGATTGTAAAGAAAGTTTGTAGACCATTATTGATCGTATCAATTTGATACTGTTAGCTTTTGTTGAGAAAGTTCCAGGAGCTATAATTTGCCGAGTATAGCACTTCTCGCGTCTTGATTGAAATGCAGGCGTTTTATCCAAGACGTAAAAGTCTGTATTTTCCTGTTGTAGACAAACGGTGCATGGATGACGTCTCAAACTCTCGTTGGATGTTATAATTATTCATTTGTTTTCTTAAATATTCAATTGTTTTTCTTAAATTTCGAAACCGTCCACGGTCGAACACATCATTGATGGTCGAACACATCCGCATTAATTTCGTTCCCAAATCGCGTTTGCGGTAATTAGCACGTGGACCTATTTGGTGACATCTTACACCAAGTCGATGTCTGTAAGGATTTCGCGCAGTACGATAATATAAGGTTTCAGATTTTTGAAAACATTGCGGGTATAGCAGTCGAAACGCAAAGCAGTCAATTTGGTTTGCTGGTTATTTTGCCTTCTACAGTATACAAAACAGTTCAGAAATGTTATATGACAGATAATTTACGTTAAGTGTACTGTAGTTGTGTTTAAAGGACCAACAAACTGGCTTATATTTTATTAGATAAGAATAAGATATTTCAAAGTTAAAATGATACATTTTAAAAGATATTTACATGGAACAATTTAATTTGTGTAAGGCACAGATTTAGATCGAGGACACGGACGTCAAAGACGACGTGAAAATGCCGTGTTGCGCCCATGTACTGTATGGATATGCCACGTCATTTTGACGCCATTCTCACGTCTTTGACGTCCTCGATCTAAATCTGTCTAATAACCATGCAGGAAACCTGAAAAATCTGAGACCTTATATTATCATACTGCGCGAAATCCTTAATTCCATTGACTTGAGCAAATGGTTCCACGCGCTAATTACCGCAACTGCCATCTGGGAACGAAATTGATGATGTGTTCGACCACAAAGGGTCCCACTATGAGTTATGATTGAAATAATATTGTATTTATTTTTAAAAACCCACTTGAATACCTTGATAATCGATTATTTCTTCTCGAAGTTCTGTAAACATTTTAAACTGCTTGTCATTATACTATCACTCTACATGACGTTTCACGAAGTATAGATGATCGCTGACAAGTAAGGACGCGGGCGCGAAAAGACGCGTCGAAAGAAGGGAGAATTAAACTAAAGGGTTGAAACATCGACTAGATGACACGAAGTACAACGAACAACTGCAATACATATACTATAAATATTTACCGCGTTCATGCACTTTGGTCTTTGTCTTTGTACTAACTTTAGAACAAAAACTGGTGTTTGTATTCGTTTGTGTGCGAGTGGTAGTTCAACACAGAAAGTTTCAGCCTCATTTTGCATAACATGCATAATTAATAAGTCTTGACTTTTTAATATACGCTTTGTTTTTATAGAATAAACTGAAATAGGCGACTAACAGTCGGTAATTTTTTTCTACAGCCAATCACTTGTCACAAAACAGCCGTAAACAACTTGATTATAAATTATAACAAAATCTTTGTGTTGCTTGTAAACTTGAGTGAAGTATTTAACATTTAAATGCAGCCAGTAAAATGCAAAAATCGCTGCAAATTGCAGTGTTGTCGCACCAAAGTTGCAGTCAGAATCGCAGGGTGTTTACATTGGAGATTTCAAAAAATCGCCATAGAAATCGCAGTGAAAATTGCAAGTGTAAACAGGGCTTAAGGTCTCTATTACTCTGGCTAATGCTATGTTCTTTGTTAGTGTAAAGTTTTTATCGAAACTTTGCAATAGTGTGGTTTGTGGCAAGAATTAAACGAATTCATAAAATTAACACTCCAGTGGAGGATGGGATAAAGTTCCAAGCCTCTATTTTCTTATCCACTTTAGTAGGAATAACATGACGTAGTGCGCGGACGAACGCGTGAAATGGACGCCAGAATGATACAATTTCTAATGAATTGACTTGCTCAAAACTCACTGAGCAGATAAATGCTCAACATAAATTATTATGAAATTACGAATGAATTACTTCTAACCAGAATAAAAATAAGCAATACTGAACAAAAAAATATATGTAGCTAAATAGATCCTGAAACTTAAAGATGTGTTATAATTGAAAAGAGGCAACTCTTAATTAAATCGAACTCTTAATTAACTCGAATTAAATCGACCGTCAATTTTATATCGTGTTTAATGTGCAGCCTCGTACCCAGGCTCCGACTCAGACCGTGGCCGTGTTTGAATAAATCCATTATTATGTCTATATTATAGCATATATAGAAATTAATTCATCTACATGCAATCAAATTATGATAAACTAACATACTGCATAAACTGAGAAATGATTTTGTCATTGATGAATTGCCTTAAATACTGTATCTTGAGTCACAGTATATTGCTGACACGCAATTGTAAAAAAAACACAAACAACCCCAGGTAACGTAACTTTCGTGGAAGTAAATGAAGTGAACTAAAATCAAGTAGATCATAGACGTTTTTAGATGAAGTAAAGGTTCCACTATGTCATTCGCATTATATAGTAATTGAAGAAACAGAGATTTGGAGCAAGTCGAGGGGAGGATGGGGCATCGTAGCTCAGTTGCATTGGACTAACAGTTATTAGTAACTAACATCGTAGCTCAGTTGCATTGGACCAACACAAACACAAACACAAACACAAACACAAACACAAACACAAACACAAACACAAACACAAACACAAACACAAACAAGAAGTATAATAAGAATTAGTTCGCATAATAATTAATAATCGGAGGCATATAGTAATTAGAGGCACTTTTAATTTGCACCTATGGTGGCAAGTTTATACTGTTTTTTTTTATTTCAAATACAAGACAGACCATACCGCTTATATAAGTACTGTATGTACATCTACCTATGTAATATGAACACTTGAATCATTTTCTTGGTTTTCTACAACAAAATGAAGTGACTCGCACTTTAGAAATATGTATATTTAGATATATTTATATATTAATATATATTTGTCTGATTTTGCAGGCTCTTATTACAGCCCATGACCAAGTTACAAACAGACTATTTGAAAAGTATGTTGAAACTGACATGGAAGAGGACATGGATGTGAGTTTCGGTTCTGTTCGAATTGTCCGCTTGGTCAAAGAAGAACAAGAACCACTGGTAGGTTAACAGTATCAGTTGTAAATCCGCCAGAGTTTTAATTAATACCTTTGCCAAACCTGGAGAATTTTTGCACCTCCCCCGAAAAGTCATGCACCTCCCCATGGGAAAGTTTCAATGATAGGTCAAAGTGAAACTTTGATGGTTGCTTATACGGTCTATACGTCGTAAGAAAGTTTTTGCTGTAAAATAGAAACAGTGATAGCCATTCATCTCTGTGTCAAGTACCCTTTTAATGCAATGTAGAACTAAACTAGTAATGAAGAACTAAATTAGCCTTTCTCCTTTCTCCCGATTATCCTCCCAGATCCACCAAAACAGATTTTACTAAATCCTCATAAACAGAGCTCCACTCCATGTATTTCCCTTGAGTCCTCTCCCACATGCATTCCTATGCTTTTCCCGATCAGCGATCTACCAGAATCGACCCCATCACGATACTCCTATTCAGTACAAAAAAACTAATACACTTGAACGCTTAAAATTTGAGTCTACGTTACCCTCCACCAAAATACCAAACCTTTTAATTTGTAATCTCCGCTCCCTGACGTCCAAGGTCGACGAACTTGACGCTGTGGTGTCTTTTAACCAAACGGACATGGTCTGCATTACAGAGACTTGGTTATCTCCTGCAATTCCTGACAATTTGGTATCCTTGTCCAATTTCAATCTGTTTAGGAACGATAGACTGGTTTCAAACGGCGGAGGTGTTTGTGCCTACATAAATAGCAATATCTATTGTAGACGAATTGAGGAATTTGAAAACTCTTCGATTGAATCACTGTGGTTATCAGTGAGACCAAAGAAGCTACCTCGCTCTGTCTCGGTTATCTTACTGGCTGTTGTTTACCATTCAACAGCATCCCGCCAAACTGAAAATGTAGAATTGTATTCACACATTCAAACCAATGTGGACTCATTTTTATATTCCCACCCTGAAGCTTTGGTCCTAATTACGGGCGACTTCAATTTTAGAAGCACGGGTCTCGATGCAAACCATCTTAAAAGAATTGCTGGTCTGACGCAGATAGTCAAGGTAGCTACCAGAGCTGATGTAACTTTAGACTGGTGTTTAACCAACTCAAAGGTGGATAATATTTACGAATCAATCCAACTTCCTCCCATTGGAACCAGTGATCATTATACGATTCTTATGAAAGCCCAACCTTCTCCCTCAAAGCCAGACAATTCACATATATGGAAACGCGATCTCAGAGATAGCAGGATGCGGCCTTTTGGACGATATATCACTACATTTGACTGGTCTCCTATCTTGGACATACATGACTGTGATACAAAATATGAAAAGTTTAACGATACAATGACTGTGATGATTGAAAAATTCTTTCCCTTGGAACGGATTAAAGTACGAAAGTGTGATAAGCCTTGGATGACGTCATCAATAAAGTCTGCTATTGGGAGACTCCAAAAAGCCTTACACGAAAGCGGGAAAAATTCAGATATTTATAAATATTGGCGTAACAGAGTCCAATCATGCATTAAAGTTGCACGAAAGATCTACTATATGAGGTCTGTTGAGAAATTAAAAAATTCTAACCCGGCAAGATGGTGGAAAGAAGTGAAAGCCATTGGTGGTCTCTCGTCAAAAAATTCTTGGTATTCTCAGCTATTTTCTGATGATGTTCGGAATTGCGAAGA